AGTATCTCACCTTATCCCTCCTTTAAAAAATCCTTAAATGACTTCCATCAAACCCATATCCATTCTCCTTTGGAATGCGAATGGTGTTAGAAATCACATACACGAACTAACAGCCTTACTACAAGACAAGAACGTAGACGTAGCCCTAATAACGGAAACTCGACTGACTAAAAAACAGCTCCTAAAAATACCACAATACATAACTTACCGTACCGACCATCCTGACGGTAGAGCACATGCCGGTACTGCAGTCATTGTGCACCAATCCCTCTCCCATCACCTACTCCCACTGCCTACACACGATTTCCTACAATCCACCGCAGTCGTAATCAAAACCTTCTCCTTTCCTATTACCGTTGCATCAGCGTATTGCCCTCCAAACCAATCCATCTCCAATATCCAATTTAGTTCCTTCCTCATTTCCTTAGGACATCATTTCATCTTGGGTGCAGACTTAAACGCCAAGCATCAACAATGGGGTTCAAGAACCACGAATTCTCGTGGTCGAACATTGCTGTCTGTACTCAATTCCCAAAATTTTACCCTTCTTCCACCCAACTCACCTACCTACTGGCCCACTGATCCTAACCGTAATCCCGATATCCTCGATTTCTTTATCCATAATGGTTTAGGTGCTCTCAACCATTCCGTTGCCCGTCTTGACGAGCTTTCCTCAGACCACAGCCCATTAATACTCCAAGTATCACTAGCTCCTATTCCTAAACCCTCTCCTCCGTCCTTCATCAGAGGCCCAGTTAACTGGAAACTCTTTCATCAAATCCTCTCCGATAAAATTGACCTCAGAGTAACCCTGAAAACCTCTGAAGACCTGGACAATGCAGTACATTCCTTCACTACCAAAATTCAAGAAGCAGTCTGGACTGCTTCCTCCCCTGATCACTCCTCAAAAATCCTTAAGAAACATAATTTACCTCAACACCTCCTTGACCTAATCCACATAAAACGCCGTGCCAGATTATTATGGCAACGTACCAGACATCCAGCCGACCGCCACTCCTACAATTATCACTGTAAAAAATTAAAAAAAGAATTAGCCACCTTCAGATCCCAATCATTCAATTCCTACCTCACCACACTCTCTGCTCATGATAATTCCCTTTGGAATATCACCAGAAAAATCCTCAAATCCCATCATATTTCCCACCCTCTTCGACGAGATGATGGCTCCTGGGCAGCATCTGATGAAGATAAAGCCGAGGAATTTGCCAAACACCTTTCCTATACTTTCGCTCCTCATCCAGAATCCCATCCCAGCCACACAGTAAAAGTAGAAGAATCCCTCTCAATACCTATCCCACTCTCCTTACCACCTAAAGCTGTTAATCCCTCTGAGGTCAAATACCTTTTACGGAAAATCACACCTCGCAAATCTCCTGGATATGACCTTCTAACCCCACAGATCCTTCGACAACTTCCATCTAAAGCCATCATATTTCTTACATATATATACAATTGCATCCTACGAACTACCCACTTCCCTCTTTTATGGAAACATTCCACCATCGTCCTCTTCTTGAAACCAGGCAAACCTTCCAACAATACAGCATCCTATAGACCAATTAGCCTACTCCCAATCCTCTCAAAAATTTTTGAAAAGATCCTACTGAAACGAATCCTACCTATAATTGAATCCTATAACCTTCCTACTCATCAATTCGGATTTCGTTCCCAACATTCCACTGTCCAGCAAGGACTCCGAGTTGTTGACCATATATCCTCAACCCTAGAAAGCAAGCAGTATTGCTCGGGTGCATTTCTGGACATAGCGCAAGCTTTTGACCGGGTATGGCACGCCGGATTACTCTTCAAGCTTAAAATCCATCTACCACAGTCCTTATACCTAGTACTCCGATCCTATCTTTCCGACCGCTCCTTCCGAGTTCGCTGTGGCACCGAATTCTCCGACTGTTACTCAATTGAGGCTGGCGTTCCTCAAGGCAGCGTCTTGGGCCCCATCCTTTACATTCTCTTTACCGCTGATATTCCTGTCCATCCCGATACCCTCCTGGCAACTTTCGCTGATGACACTGCTATCCTTTCTTCCAACTCAGATCCTGAAACAGCGTCCGCAAACTTACAAAGGCACCTCTTCCTGATTGAACACTGGTGTAAGAAATGGCGCATTAAGGTAAACGAATCTAAATGTAAACACATTACCTTCACCCTTCGGCGTAATACCTGCCCACCAGTTTATTTTAACTCCATCCAGCTTCCTTTCTCAGATACAGTCCGGTATCTTGGCTTTCTCTTAGACAGACGACTAACATGGAATCCACATACTCGACTTAAAAGACAGGAACTTAACAGACGATATGGCCAGCTATATAGACTACTGAATAGAAAATCTAAACTTTCTGGTGAAAACAAATTACTGATCTACAAGACAATACTGAAACCCATCTGGACTTACGGACTAGAACTATGGGGAACAGCCAAATTTTCTAACATCAAACGCATTCAATCCTTTCAGTCTAAAGTCCTCCGTACAATAGTCAATGCTCCCTTCTATGTAACCAATAAAACCCTACATCATGACCTTAATATCCCATTTATTCTTGATCTTATCCCAGCCAAATTTTCCAAATTTCACCAGAACCTTTCTCATCACCCAAATCCCGTTGTACAATCCCTATCAAGCACCACCCATCCCTACAATCCCCTTCGTAGGTTAAAGCGGCAGTGGCCACGAGACCTTTTGTAAATATGGATATTTTGGAGTTCTAGCAATGGCCAGATTCTCCACTCAAGTCATGAGTGTCTGTGGCTGTAGCGCTCTTACTCATCCTCCGCTGGTTTAAAATACCAGTGAAGTGGCTGAGGGAGAAGCGTAGGGATCTCCTAAGCCTCCCTTTTCCCTCCACATGTGGAGGGGACAGGATTGGTTCGGAGATCACCTGGCAAATTGTAAATAATGTATGTTTTATATAAGGTGTTTGTTTTACTTTTATTTCTATTTTTATTTACTTATGTGTATATATATTATTTTTTTTTCTTTACTCTTTTGTTCTTTCTTCTTATTCTTTTGTTATTACTTTATTTATTTATATTTTTGTATATACGGTATGAATGCAATCTCTGAACTCTATTATAAGTGTCCTTAACTGTGACAAATTGTAATATTTCTGAATAAAGTGTTTTAATAATAAGATGTGTCTTTCCTTTGCTAACAGATACACAGAGCTTATTTTAAAGAAGAATTCAATGTATCTTTTATTATTTTATTTCTCAAAAGTGTATAATTATAATTTTTTCTACTGTACATAGTTTTAAGAGCCTTGTCATAGTTTTAAGTGTTTTGTACACAGATTTTTTTTTTTTTTTTGTATATATAGCTTGTTTAACTAATATTTTCTTAACTTTTTCTTTTTTTTTTTTGTTATTAATTTTACAAAAATTTATAAGTTTTTTAATGACAAATATCTCTTAAGAAACTTTCACATTATATTGATCTTGACATGTAGTAGTCTACATTATCAATTTATATTAAGTTGATTATATCAATGGGGCATTGGATAATAGCACATTTGTTAGAGCTATCCATTTTTCATTTTCAATTTGTATTATTCTCTCTTTGTTCTGTATGTAAATAATTACTAAAACTCTATTTTTTAATGTTTATTTTGTTCATATCCCATTATTATAACTATATATTTCTAGAAAGGTTTCGTCAACTCAGCTTGATTAAACTTTGATTTTGGACAAATTTAAATATTTATTTACCAATTAAATTCCTTATATTTTTTAAAACCAGAGTTCCAGGAGATTTTGATCCATCTATTGAAGTATTTGTGACATTTTATTTCAATTATTGAAATAGTGAAATTTTGTTATAATTATTGAAACTGTTTTGTGTTCTACATTATTTTTTGAATTGTTGGAAAATTTTGTTCCTACTGAAAATTTTTTTTTGAGAATTCAGTTTCAACTGTTGGAAAATTTCTTATCCCTCAAAAGATAAAAAAAATGTTGCAGTCATCTTGGTTTAACGTTCATTGATACATGCCACAATATTGGTTACAAATATTAATTTGTGATTAGAAATATCAATTAAAGAATCAGAGTAAAACATGTAACTTTCATTATTAAAACATGATCTAAAAGGGTTAAAATAATGTTAACTGCCTGTTTTTCAACAATTTTCTGATAAATTAAACAATAACTCAAAGCTGCTGAGGAAATGTCTTTTTATTTAATATCTTTATAGAACATTAGACTCAAATTTTAATAAAAATTATTACACATGCTTAAAAAAAAATGTAAATTTATAGATTCAAAAACTTAGATCAATATAAGCTTATAATAGTATAATAAAAATGATTACACATGCTTTAAAAAAAATGTAAATTTATAAATTCAAAAATTAGATAAATATAAGCTTATAATAGTATAATAATTTTTTTTTTATTATAATTCCATTATAACAGCAAATTAATTTTTTGGACCATTTTATTGCAAAATAATACTGAATGTTTTCTTTTTATTTTAAGTCACAACCATTGATTAATGGATAATCAATCATAATATGAATTATGAGCTTTAAATTGAAAAAAAAAAAATTGTATCTAGAAATGAAAAGTTACTATATTCATAAATATTTTTATAAGAAAAAAGTTTAACTAATATTTTCTGCAAAACATTGAAGCAATCATCAATAATGCATAAAATCATGGAATTTATTTATTTTTTTTAATGAAAAATATAATAAAAAACATTACAATATAAGAATATGTAACTTTTCTTAATAATTATAATTCAAATATATTTTATAAAACTATCATTTATTAAAGCAGCTTTCCCTAATGCTCAAGAATATTTAAAAATTATTAAAATATATAGAAAATGTAAGAAATATGTTAAATGCTACATAACTTTTTAAAATGTAAAAAATCCAAATTAAAACATACATAATTAAAGCATAATTATTGGAACCATATTTTATAAAATATGGTGTTTTTGTCAAAATATTTTTTCAAAAGTATGGTATTAATGTTATTAGCATATTAGCTGGTAAGTAATGTTTTACATTTTACAAAAATATACTCCATACAAAAAATTACATTATAACATATATTATTAAAGTATAGGTAATCATGGGAACAATGAGAGGATCATCCAAATTTGAATCTCTGAGAGCAAGGGGATTAATATCGACCACTAATGAGCCCTGAAACAAAATAAAATTTAATCAAAATTGTGTTGTTAACGTTCATTTAAAAAAAATAACATGGTTCATTTCTTAAAAATATAGTAATATAATATAATAATGGATAATAAAATCATTTTATTATTACTAATAAAAAATCATAATTATTATTACTATTCGATGTGTACCCAAATAGTCAATGACCTTTTTTTTATTCTATTTATTTATAATATATAATATAGTTACTTTTTTCCTTCATATTGTACCATAACAGATCTTCTTTGATTTAATCTAATATATGTGTACAGTGATATGCTTATACATTTCTATGTAAATGGTTCATGTGAAAGAGAAAAAACATTAAAATTGTTGAGCATTTAAAAATAATATAAAAACAGTTTTTTGATGTACAAAGACTCAAACAAATATCACAATTCTAGGAAATGCTTATTTGTTTTTCCCCAATAGACTAAAGATTAGCAATATATTCTTTTAGCTATTAGTTGCAGTACTCAAGACAGAGATGCCCATCCACATCAAGGTCGATAGCGCATGAACTCCCCTCTGTCAAGAAATTTATTGCTCTCCTGTTCTTAAAAACAGTCCAAGCAAAAGTAGAATTTAAAAAATCGTAGACCATATAGCTAAAATTACACTTGTTTTTGTTTGGTCCATTTTTTCCTCCTTGTTCACTGGTTTGAAACTTTTCACTCCAAAAATTCATAACACTTGTCAAAAATTTTCCCCCTCAAAAATTCAAAAATCCATAAAAATGTGCCTCCTCCCCTCAAAAATTTTGATGGCGCAAGTTGTGGCATGAAACCCCTTCTGGGCATCTAAAGATATTCTCTTGCAATGTTTATATTAATATTTGTTTATGATATTAAATAAAATTAGTTAGTAAATCCTGTTTTTAATATGAAAGATTTTCAATGAATCCTAATCCTTGTTTTTTAATTATTTTGAAGTGTTGTTAATGATGGTCTTTAAAGTTTATTAATCCAACATCTATACCTACATAATAGATTGCTATAAATATTGATTCTAAAATATTGAGCTTTGATCGGTAGTTTGATTTATAGAGTATTTTAATATTTTCAAAATCTATTTCATGCCTATGGTTTTTTACATAGTTTGATAAAACGGTATCTGTTTTTGAATTAGGTTTAAGGGTTCTTTTGTGTTTATATAATCTTGTTTTTATATTGGTTGATAACATTGTTATATATGATTTTCAACAATTTTTATGTGTAATATCATAAATTAAAATTTATATTATTTTGTATGAGTGTTAAGTCCTTTGTCTTAGTCAGTAAGTTTTGTATAGTGGGTCTAGGTCTGAGGGAGAATTTGAAATTGTCTATGTCTAATTTTTTAAAAGATTTTTTGACATTTTATGCCAGTTTATTAATGTATGTTATGGATTTTAATTTTTTTATGTTATTTTTTATGAAGATATGTACGAGCATATTACTATTTTCTGAATTTAGATTTGGTTCAGTGTCTTTTGTATTACTTAGTGAGCTGATGTTGAAGAATTGTTTAAGACTGGTTTGGATTGGGAGCCGATACTTATTTAAGTTGATAGTAGGTTCTACTATGAAGATATAAAACAATCTAAAATTACCAAATTATTCTTTTGTTTTTTAAATCCACAAAACTAAATATAGAAAAGATTCATGATTTGTTTCTTTATTACAATGGCAGTTTTATCAGCTATTATTATTGTTTTATTTTGATAAAAAGTTAATCGGGGTTGCGGTCAATATATAAAATAATCAATTACATAACAGTATTTTTTATTAAATTTTCCTTGTGCTTGTGGAGGGAACAAACGTTATTTATGTGGAATTTGTGATTGGAATAAATGGTTTTGAAAAATGTGAAGGATAAATGGTTTGAGTGGAAGTGGAACTTACTTGGGAAGAGGAGTTTACAACCAAATAGATCAATGTGTCATCTAGTGAAGGTTTCGTTCAAGACGACGGAAAGGAGAGTGACGACGAGTTGTCAGAGGTTGGTGCTGGGTGCTGCGGAGTTCTAGATGATTTCTGAAATCTAGTGATGCAACAAGTGGGAAGAGAAGTGCGGTGTTGATGCGATAGGGTCGTTTGTTGAGGCCTTTTTGATCCAAGTTTAAGTCTGGAACTGCGACGTACGGGTTAAGGGTTGGTATATTGTTGTTGGCCTCATGATGGTGAATTCATTATGGTGAGAAGATGGTTGACCGTAATTCTAATTTGAGAAGAAGTTAGTTGGTGTTCGGTCAATATATAAAATACTATATTACATAATAGTATTTTTATTGAATATTCCTTGTGGAGGAAACAGAGGTTATTTATGTGGAATCAATGGTTTGAAAGATGAGAAGGATAAACTGGTCTGAGTGGAGGTGGGATTTAACTTGGGAAGAGCAGTTTAACACTGATGAACTCAATATGTCGTCGAGTGAAGCATTGGTTGAAGAAGACAGACTGATGAGTCAAGTTTTCAGACATCAGTGCTGGAATGTTGCAGAGTTCTGGATGATATCTGAAAACTAGTGATATGGTATGTTCCACTTCCACTCAGACCAATTTATCTTAAAATTGATCAAAACCATTTATTCAAATCACCAATCCCATAACCTTTGTTCACTCCATGAGGAAAATACAATAAAAAATACTATTATGCAATATAGTATTTTATATATTACATAGGTTAATTGATCTGAATAGAAGTGGAACTTACCGCATCACTAGTTTTCAGAAATCATCCAGAACTCTGCAACATTCCAGCATTTATGTCTGAAAACTTGTCTTCACATTCCTCTCCATCTTCTTCAACCAATGCTTCACTCGATGACATATTGACTTCTTCAGATTTAAAATGCTCTTCCCAAGTTTAAAAGTCCCAGCTCCACTCAGACCTGTTTATCCTTCTCATCTTTCAAAACCATTTATTCCAATCACAAATTCCACATAAATAACCTTTGTTTCCTCCACAAGGAAAATTTAATAAAAATACTATTATGTAATATAGTGTTTTATATATTGATCGCACCCCTGATTAACTTCTTCTCAAATTAGAACTACGGTCAACCATCTCCACACTATTATTCTTTTAAAATGACTCATTAAAAAAAATATGAATTTATTCTTTAGACCTAAAATATTAAATAAAATCTAGGTTGAAATATCTTGGACTGACACGAAATATAAAATTAGAGTGCAGTGGGAACAGTTTGGCAAGACTCCTAAGATCAAAACTAGTCATTAATCAAGGGATGAATCAGATATTTGGAGTACATTACTGACAATATCATTCTGTGTTCTCTAAGCCAGACCAATGTTCATAATTACGGAACTCATTATTCTTAGGAGACTGTACTTTCTGAATAAAAATTATTTTTCATTTCATATTTATCCTGAAAATAGCATTTAAAAATTAGGCCTCTCTAGTAATGCCAACTCTATTAATTAATAGAGTAAAAAAAATTAATAGTTTTCAAGAACGATTTTGCTTTATGTAATGCAATAAATTAACATTAAAATAAGTAGGCTCTTTCTGTTTCTGTTTTACCAGGCCATCTAATCTCAGTTCTGCCTATAGCTTTCTTGATGTATTTTATCCTCATTTTGGAATTAACAATTTATGTTGCAATACTTCTTAAATTTTATTCTTATATATTTAACTACCTAATTAAAGTAGTTGGCCCATCAATATTTTCACTAATATACATTAATAAACCTAGTTGCTAATGTAGTTCTAATATGGTATATAGATTACACATATTTATGTCCATAGTGCTAAAGCATTCGACATGATTTTCATTGAATGTTCTAATAATGTATTAATTTATCCTTTAAAGATACAGAATTAATATTTTTATTAATAACAATGATATGGTAAAATTAAATAAATTGATTAATCTTCATTAAAATTTTTGTCACCTTCAATCCTAGTTTTATAAATAAGAAGAAAAATATTTAAACCCACACACTACAGTAAAATGTTTAAGAAGAACCACTGACCTCTTGTTAAATATCTCCAGTTGATTAGATAAAGTTTATTTGAGACTAAAAATATCATATTTCAAATTTTTTCTGTCCAATTTTATTAAGAATGGACAACCCCCAGTCCCACACCGATTTAATATCAGCCTCAACTTACTATATAAATATGTGGAACAGTCTTCTGATTTGTAGTACCTACAAATAAAAGTAATTAACCTTTCCAATCATTTACTTTGAAATTAATTATAAGTTTACAAAAATGAATTTTTTGTAAACATTATAATCACCAAACTTTGTTGAATCTTTTAATTTAATTTATCTTTTAGTTTTCAAGATCTATTTATTAGTCATCTACATCCCATTGCTGAGTTTAGATATTATTTGAATATTGGTTTTTAATGGTAAATCAAGAGTAGAAAATGAACGAGTTCATAATTATGACATTATTTAATGTATGTAAATTATTTTAATAAATGTTCTGGTCCTGATATGCCAGAAAGACAGCATTTGTAAAGACTTTATGATTGTCATGCTTTTACATAGTTTGGAGGTCAAGGGAAATTTAATGAAAATGGAAATAGTAAATATCTGAAAATATTAAATTAATCACTTACCTGAGGTCTAAAACAGCCAACTTTCTTTTACATTTACGGTCGAATTTAGTCTGCCGACTGATTAACATTGAATTATCCGGCATTTCAAATACGTCATATTCTATTTCAATTTCATTAACTGTATTATTATTAGGGTTGTTAATAAATAGTGAAAACTGACCTTCTGGTCTCAAACTAATTTTGTTTTCCAAAATTATCTCCATCTGATTAAAGAGAAATAAATAAGAAATACAATATATATGTTTTAATAATTAATCCACAACACCAAATACTGGGTACAAAGCTATATGGAACAGTAACTCAACAGCAGCTTAGAAAGATAATGACATTGAATTAAGTTATGAACTTTGAAAAGGCTCTAATCAATGAACAGTATGAAAATTTTGTTGAAAAATTCACAGCCCACTGTAAG